TCCGGTTTGCATCGGAAGTTTGTGTATAGTTAATTGGGGCCTCCTTTCAGTAAGGTTTCCATATCTGGTCTCATCTTTTATCTATCTAACAATATCCATTCTCGAGATTGAGGAAAGACGGATGGACGAATGACAATCAGCCTTTATAGGTCTACATATTTTTCAGATTACAGCCCAATAACATAGAAATTATTATATATTGTTCATACAAGAATTTGTAGTTGTGTGAGATGAACAAAAACAAACACGATTAAATTTCCACGACAAATAAAATTATTTATTTCTAATTACAGAAATTAAAATTGATCACAATGCTAGAATATGACCGAATTAAAGTGATTATAATTCAATTTTTATCATCTGATGACGTCGGTTTCCTCTTTTTCTTGACAATTACTTTCGTTTTCTTGGCTCGATTTGCTCGATCAGTCGATTGATCTTCTTGTTGGACTTGGCTTTGGTCTAAGCATTGTTCGCCCTGAATTTCTTGCTCGATGCTTTTCACTGGTGTCTTTTTTTTCTTGACTCTAATGGGCAATTTTATCCTTTTTTTGACTCGAGTAGGCGATTGAGTTTCTTCTTCGTCTTGTGTAGGTAATTGTGCACCTCCTTTGGACTTTAAGCCCAAGGAAGACATTCGCTGTTTGAGGTTTTGAATTGGCGATCGCTTTTCTTCTTTAGATTCCTGTTGCGATTTGACTACCTTTTTCTTTTGTATTGTCGTTAGAACGTCTTCGGTGTCCTTCGGATTCGATTTTCCGGAAAGATATACTACAGCTACAATCATTAGTACAATGAAAGGCAATGGTGACATATAATACCATACAGTGTAACTTTTCTTCGAAGAGCAGTACCCGTCACTGTGGGAAAATGTCAAATATGAATAAAATTATATGGTAAAATAAAACTAAAGTTAAATACCTCGTGCATATTCCATAATTGTTATCGCAATGCGATCCTTCTGCTTTTACGTACAGTTGATGATTGGACGGAACGTAACCGAGCGACTCGGCACTTTGACAGATTTTAGGTTTACTTTCGCAACAAACGTGGCATTCCCATTTTAGAGGCAAACAATTGCAACTTTTTAGCTTATTGTCTTCGCAGACGTTGCTGATGCATTTTCCGGAACGACAAGTTTTGGCTGTTCCTAAACACGGTGATTGGTCTGGCTCCAGTATCAACGGACAAAATGGCGACTTTTTATTACATACATTAGAAGTGTTGTAACACGGTACGTTGCTGAAACACTTTACGTCGTCGCGCGTATTGAATTTGCAATTCAAATCGCAACATTCGTCTGTAGCGGGAGAACAGTCCTTTCCTTCTTGAATCGTGCATGGTAATGGGGAGTTTCTAGACGTACAGCATGTCTTCTCTATGTCACATTGACCGGTAGAGTTATCGCAATCGCAAGATTCCCCTTCCTCCACAATTCCGTTTCCACACACTGATCTTTGCAGTGTCTTCAGGCAGAAATCTATTTTTAAAAAAACAAATGTAAAATTATACAAATTTCAATGGTACAATTAAAAAGCAATTACTACTATTAACGGTCACCAAAGTTCGGAATAAATGCATAGCAACGCAGCAGCGAATGCATGGAAAGAATATGATGGAACCAGCGATTTGGTAGCGTTCTTGGTGGTAACGACCGGTACTATCGATCGCCATTTTATTTTAGGTCAAACATCGAAGTCTGTACCACCGGTTGGGTAGGATTGTCACTTTAGAATCTATTTTTCTCATCTAAATCTAGATTGTTTTGTTTGCCCCTAGATTTGAGATGTAAACAATTAGATCAGCAATATAAATCTAGTTAGTTTCATCTCGAATTTAGCTATTTTCTAAATTTTATTTAATTATTATAAAGAAAGTAAGATCAGCGTTTAAACTGGTAAGTGTAGTACTTAACCCTCAATATAACAATATTTTTGTAATGTAAGTGCGAACCAGTTCTTGAAGCTCTTTACTCTTGGACATATAATTGTTTATTTAACGTATGCTTATCCGTATCATACTCAGTACGTCGTTGATGTTTTTCGGACAGTGTTTTTTCTTTTGCAGAATTTAAGCAGTGTTCTTGTGTTTCTATTATAGTTATAGTTTGTTTGTGAGAATTTTAGTTTCAATTTGTGAAAATATTTACAATGAAAAACTATATTTAGACCTTTGTTGTGTTACGAACCACAACAACATTAGAAGCCGTGAGTTCGAATGGGGACTGGAAAATTACCAATCCGTAATGCATTGTTAAATATGCGAAATAAACTGAACTGTTTTAATCTCGGTCTCTGTTAACTTTAACTGCGGATAATTAAGAAAGATGCGATAAATATTACTAGTCTCACTATTGAAAGAAGAAACTTTATATATTTTTAATTATTATCGAATGGAAAAAGATATAATTTTGAAAGTAGTGATGTGGTTAACGATTTGATAGAAATTCATAGTACAATAAACATAATTCAATTGTCCTTACCTTTTCTTTGTAAGTATTGTCGGATTTTTCTCTTGCAATATGGAGAAAATTTCAAATTGCTCGAAGTTTCCCAAAGGGGAATGTCGGGATGCATGATGTAATGTCCGTTGGTTTCATTTAGTTTACAATCTTCAGGATCGTGCGGGCAACCAAATGCGTGTCCTAATTGGTGAAGTAGATTGGCGGCTACTTCAACTTTCGGCAATAGAAATCCATGTTCTATATCCGTAACGAAACCCACGTTATTCATTATCTTGGCATCTTCAGGCCCTTCGTGGGAGCAAATCCCTCCTCGCTTTTTCACTTTTCCAACCGAATACGTCGATTTTGTCCAGAAATCCCTATGACAAAAGCAGATCAACATGCAATAGGGATGAGAATATCGAGCTAAATGATCTAAATAAGTCGTATGAGTGTAGTTTGTATTTGGCCGAAAAGGATAGTTAGGACTGTTTTCATCTCCGAAAACTGTAACTTTTTCCACATTAAACCCTATATTATCAGGAATTCCATCTTGGTCTATGTCTAAACTTTTAAAGACGTAATTTGCGTTCATGACGTAGAACATCATCTGTGCCACTACTTTTTCGCTATTAGAACCCATTCTTTTAAAATACGTGTAGTCTGCCAAGAGTTCTAAGGAACAACTTCTTCTATTGCTACAAAATAAACCTTATAATCAATTTTAAATATGCTCGTATGGCATGTAATAAATGTATGCAAGCCTTACCTTTTATTATTCTTGACATTTAATATATTTTCCATCAATTTTGAATAATTGCAATCGGTTCCTCCTGATTCGGTATCATTCGTTATCTCGTTGCAGATGAAATTTCTATTGCGCCGTACAAATTTGTATTCAACGTTTTTCAAATTGTACACTATAAATTTTCTGGACAAATTCACGGAAATATAATCATAATACGGTTCTATATAGTAAACGTCGTCGAGGATTTGTAATCTTCCACTAAACTTATTATTGTAGATATATCCAAATAAGCCTTTACCTTCTACAAAGAACAGTTCTGGAATGTTTCTCAGGTGATACTTGTGTATATTCCTCCCTTTCCATAGGTAGACTTTTGTCGCGGCCGAAAAGACGGTAGAGTTTCTACTGACACGAAATTTCGTCGTTCCGAATATCGGCGGATAGAAAGTAATAAAGATTTCCCCGTATCTTTGTGGAAGAAATCCTACCTTTATCGTCTGGTAACTCGTTATTTCGTACATATTTTCATATTTGGTTTGGCTGTAAACTTTCACCAGAGTTATTAGCCCTATTTTCATTAGTAAGTTAAGCCGATACATTTTCATCTCGCATATATTCGAATTAAACATTCTTATCAACGTTTTCGTTCCATTATTTAAATTGAATTTAAATTCTTTTTTTAAATAACCGTTGTCTATTAATTTTAACCAATTGAATTATTTTAAATATATTATCGACGATCACTATAATTTGTAAAAATTCTAGGCCTGTAAATTCCCACTTTCGTACGTTTGTCGGTCTGTCCTTTCTTAATCTCGAGAAGCCAATTAGATAGACGAAATTCGAGACTAGATATGGAAATATTGAGGGCGTGAGGACCGGTTTAACTATATACGAACTTCCGATGCAAACCGAATGTTTCTATATATGAAGTACTAAATTATGCGTTAATATTAATTTTAGTTAGAGGAGGGCGTTTTGTCGTCTCAGCTTTGTTGTTGATCTTTACTCACCCCCAAATTTTTATATTTTTGGACTTAAGACACGTTCAATCGTTGAGAAACGTGAAAAAATTCGGTTTTTTTTTTTCTGTATTTATGGATATTAGTGTGTGAGGGACACGACTTTGTTCACTCCTTTGTTGCTTAATAACTCCTGTATCTTTTGTCGAAAGTTTCTGAAGTTTTGCATGGAGGTTTGGGTATTAGGGGAGGATAAATCCCAGAACAGACCCTGATATATATGAAAAGGCCATGATAAGTTTTTAACGATAAAATCTCGTAACAGATGGCTCCACACACAACTTCATTTATTATTATTAACAGTTTATTAACATTATAAAAGTTATATTTTTAATAAAATCTCAATACAGCCGGGAAAGTTAGCAACTGGTTGCTGAATCCTGTACTTAATCTATTTAAAATAAAAATAAACAGTCGATTATATAGTCTATATTTTATTTAACAGACATGTTTTCAAGTGAAAATCTGATGAAGAAATAAGCTTTGAAACGAGCAAATATTTATTGTGACATCGTCACAATGCCGGACCGAAATTTTTTAATTATTTCATTTGAAATATATGCTTTTCATCTCAAATTAGTAGTGGCTTGCCCTTGTATATCACACTTTTAGCAATACAGTCGGTGCCGGTCATCTATTAACTGCTTTCGGGGGAAAAGATTCGATTTGAAATAACGTGAATCCCGGTTTGTATCGAAAGTTTGTATATAGTTAATTATGGCCTCCTGACCCTAATATTTTTAAATCTCGTTTTGAAGTTCATATATCTAACAATATCCATTCTCGAGATTGAGGAAAGACGGACAGACGAATGACAATAAGCCTTTATAGGTCTACATATTTTTCAGATTACAGCCCAATAACATAGAAATTATTATATATTGTTCATACAAGAATTTATAGTTGTGTGAGATGAACAAAAACAAACACGATTAAATTTCCATGACATATAAAATTATTTATTTCTAATTACAGAAATTAAAATTGATCACAATGCTAGAATATGACCGAATTAAAGTGATTATAATTCAATTTTTATCATCTGATGACGTCGGTTTCCTCTTTTTCTTGACAATTACTTTCGTTTTCTTGGCTCGATTTGCTCGATCAGTCGATTGATCTTCTTGTTGGACTTGGCTTTGGTCTAAGGATTGTTCGCCCTGAATTTCTTGCTCGATGCTCTTCACTGGTGTCTTCTTTTGCATGACTCTAATGGGCAATTTTGTCCTCTTCTTGACTCGAGTAGGCGATTGAGTTTCTTCTTCGTCTTGTGTAGGTAATTGTGCACCTCCTTTGGACTTTAAGCCCAAGGAAGACATTCGCTGTTTGATGTTTTCAATTGGCGATTGTTTTTCTTCTTTAGATTTCTGTTGCGATTTGACTACCTTTTTCTTTTGTATTGTCGTTAGAACGTCTTCGGTGTCCTTCGGTTTCGATTTTCCGGGAAGATATAGCAAAGCTACAATTATTAGTACAATGAAAGGCAATGGTGACATATAGTACCATAAACTGTAACTTTTCTTCGAAGCGCAGTACCCGTCACTGTCGAAATAATCACATATGAATAAAATTATATGGTAAAATAAAAGTAATTAAGATCACGTACCTCGTGCAAATTCCAAAATTCTTATCGCAATGCGATCCGTCTGCTTTTACGTATACTTGATGATTGGACGGAACGTAACCGAGCGACTCGGCACTTTGACAGATTTTAGGTTTACTTTCGCAACAAACGTGACATTCCCATTTTAGAGGCAAACAATCGCAACTTTTTAGCTTATTGTCTTCGCAGACGTTGCTGATGCATTTTCCGGAACGACAAGTTTTGGCTGTTCCTAAACAAGGTGTTTGGTCTGGCTCCAGTGTCAACGGACAAAATGGCGACTTTATACTACATACATTGGAAGTGTTGTAACACGGTACGTTGCTGAAACACTTTACGCCTCCACGCGTATTCATTCTGCAATTCAAATCGCAACATTCGTCTGTAGCGGGAGAACAGTCCTTTTCTTCTTGAATCGTGCATGGTAATGGAGAGTTTCTAGACGTACAGCACGTCTTCTCTATGTCACATTGACCGGTAGAATCATCGCAATCGCAGGATTCCCCTTCCTCCACAATTCCGTTTCCACACACTGATCTTTGCAGTGTCTTCAGGCAGAAATCTATTTCTAAAAATAAATAAATAAATAAATGTAAAATTACACAAATTTCAATGGTACAATTAAAAAGCAATTACTACTATTAACGGTCACCAAAGTTCGGAATAAATGCTGAGCAACGCAAACAGCGATGCATGGAAATAATATGATAAGACCAGCGATTTGGGAGTCACTTAAGTTCATGACCGTATTTAATTTTACCAAAATGTTGTAGTACGCCGATTCCATGGTAAGCATAAAATCAAAAATCTCATGTTTAACAGAATGTTTAGGGGGTCATTATTAAATATAAATAGAAAAAAGGAACCAACGAGCTAGAATATAAATCCTTCTAAGTGGTAATAAGGAACTAATAATTGTGGAAAATGGAAGAAGTGTTGCATTTGCCCATTAAAAAATAGACAAATAAAATACGCTAGTAAGTAAAAGAAACTGATATGTAGAAACTGCATCATTAGGAAGTGTACACGGTATGCATCATTGTTAAGCCCTACCTCTGTCGAGATAGACACATGACAACCCTCTATCTCCCCGCATCTTTAATATTAAGGAGTATGATGTTTTTAAATAATAATAAGGAACAGTAATGCTTCTTATACACAAGCTATCGTGCCAAATTTCGTTTCTTATACAGGCCAACACACACACATACACGAAATATTTTTTTTTTTTTTTTGGATTTAGCTCAAAGTTCAAAGTTTTGGGCTGGGCGACAATATGAAGATTTATAAATAATAAAAAAAAAACCTCCAAGGGTCCAATGCTTTCCCTTATTATGTATATATAACAGCCGGGAAAGTAAAATTAAGAATTTTTAACTTGTCGATACTTAGGGTCATTTTAACTTACACCATTTCAGACTGGTATTAAAAACTCTTCCTTTCCTTTGCACATTTTTACACAACGAGTTAGAATATTCTAGCTCGTTGCCTTTACACAACACAAACGTCACGCCTTTTGACTAAAAGCAAAATGGCGGATTTCTATTTAATTTTCTTCTAACGTGACGTCGCTATACTCACTCTATGTAGTATATTCTAACTCGTTGGCGCGAACTTCGATACAAAATTTGGTTGTGGAGTAACGTACCGGACGGACGTTCGTTCAAGTGATCCTATCAAGGTGATCTTCTATGTATTATTAATGTAAAGAATGCTTCTGTTTCGATTAATAAAGTACTTGGTTCTTGTATTCGTGTGGTCACATCATCGTACGTAAGTATAACCTACCGTTACAACTACAGTAAATAAACTATTGAATGGTGGTGAAAAATTCTCATTATCGAAACCATTAATGAGATTAAAATATAGTTTGTGGCAAAAATATTCGATGCAGCTTAAAGCTGGCATGTGACCGAGTGGCTTAAACCAACGAACACTAGTATTTGGACGCGGGTTCGCATATGAATAACGGGCGAGATTTTAAGTATTCCGAGTTTTCTTCACCTTCCTAACATCTAAATAGAAACTAATTTTCTATAGAAAGTCCTCTTAGGAGGCACCTTTCTCGGCAAATTGCCCGGACGTTGCGTTGCCATATCACACGAAACAAATAAACCAACTAAAGTTAGGTCTTTGCAATTTTAATTATAACAGCTAATATCATCTTAATTCGATAATAACGGTTCATCTGAATGAAATGTAATATTTTTGCCTATTGTATGCATTATATTTCCAAATTCAGAAACGGCTTAAATACACGATATCGAATACACTGAGTTCAATTGAATTGAAAGGGTGGTAAGGTAACATAAGTGAATTTTCCAACAGCACCTTTATTAATCTCTCGGCAATATTATTCACTTTAATAGTTAAAATGTAACGAAAGAATTTTCAAAATTTATCGCATTTCTTTCAACAATTAATGATTTGATAGAAATTGTTAACACAATAAACGTAATTCAATTGACCTTACCTTTCCTTTGTAAGTATTGTCGGATTTTTCTCTTGCAATATGGAGAAAATTTCAAATTGCTCGAAGTTGCCCAAAGGGGAATGTCGGGATGCATGATGTTGGTATCATTTAGTTTACAATTTTCAGGATCGTGCGGGCAACCAAATGCGTGTCCTAATTGGTGAAGTACATTGGCGGCTACTTCAACTTTTGGCAATAGAAATCCATGTTCTATATCCGTAACGAAACCCACATTATTCATTATCTTGGCATCTTCAGGCCCTTCGTGGGAACATATTCCTCCTCTCTTTCTCACTTTTCCAACCGAATACGTCGATTCGGTCCCGAAATCCCTATGACAAAAGCAGATCAGCATGCAATAGGGATGAGAATATCGAGTTAAATGATCTAAATACGTCGTATGAGTGTAGCTTGTATTTGGCCGAAAAGGATAGTTAGGACTGTTTTCATCTCCGAAAACTGTAACTTTTTCCACATTAAACCCTATATTATCAGGAATTCCATCTTGGTCTATGTCTAAATTTTTAAAGACGTAATTTGCGTTCATGACGTAGAACATCATCTGTGCCACTACTCTGGTGCTGTCAGAACCCATTCTTGTAAGATACGTGTAGTCAGCCAAGAGTTCTAAGGAACAACTTCTTCTATTGCTACAAAATAAACCATATAATCAATTTTAAATATGCTCGTGTGGCACGTAATAAATGTATGCAAGCCTTACCTTTTAGTATTCTTGACATTTAATATATTTTCCATCAGTTTTGCGTGATTGCAATCGGTTCTTCCTGATTCGGTATCATTCGTTACTTCGTTGCAGATGAAATTTCTATTGCGCCGTACAAATTTGTATTCAACTTTTTTCAAATCATATACTATAAATTTTATGGAATGACTCACTAAAGCATAATCAGAATACCGTTCGACATAGTAAACGTCGTTGAGGATTTGTATTCTTCCGGTAAACTGATTATCGTAGAAATATCCAAATAAGCCTTTACCTTCTACAAAGAACAATCTGTGAAAGTTTTTCAGGTGAGACTTTTGTATTTTCCTCCCTTTGCACAGGTAGACTTTCGTCGCAGCCGAAAAGATGGTAGAGTTTCTACTGACTCGAAATTCCTTTTTTTTCAATAACGGCGTAGGGAAAACAACAAAGATTTCCCCGTTGCCAAGTGGAAAATATTCTACCTTTATCGTTTTGTATTCTTTTATTTTGTATATATTTTCATATCTGGCTCGGCTGTAAACATTCACCAGAGTTATTATCCCTATTTTCATTAATACGTTAAGCAAATACATTTTCACCTCGAAGATATTCGAATTAAACATTCTTATCAATGTTTTCGTTCCATTATTTAAATTGAATTTAAATTCTTTTTTAAATAACCGTTGTTTATAAATTTTAACCGATTGAATTATTTTAAATATACTATCAACGACCACTATAATTTGAAAAAATTCTAGGCCTGTAAATCCCAATTTTCGTTAGTCTGTCGGTCTGTCCTTTCTTAATCTCGAGAAGGGAGTTCGATAGACGAAATATGAGATAAGAGGTGGAAACCGCACGTGGAGGAGGACCAGATTAACTATATAAGTACGTCCGATATCAAGCGGAAATTCGTGTATAAGAAGTACTATATTATGCATTCATAGTAATTTTAATTACACGACGCCATTTTTTTTCTTTCTTGATCTCGACCCACCCCCAGATTTTTACATTTATGGACTCGGGACACATTCAAACGTCGAGAAATGCAAAAACATTCGGGGTTTTCCTGTATGTACGGATATTAGTGTGTGGGGGGGTCACGATTTTGTTCATCCGTTTGAAGCTTAATAACTCTTGTATCTTCTGTCGAAAATTTCTAAAATTTTGCAGGGAGGTTCGTGTGTTAGGGAGGTTAATGCTGTTAAATTTTGGAGGTTAAAGGTCGAGGGGTTGGGGAGATAGACGGAGTCACGTGTCGTGTCTCCAGTGGAGTCTGGCTTAAATGACGATTTTTCTCGTTAGTATTTACAATTCTTTTTTAAATATAAAATCCATCCTTACCTAAAAATTAAGCTTTTTGCCGATTTTTAGTAATTAATTAATATAAAAAGTTTTTTCAAATAAAATCTCGTAACAGATGGCGCCACACCCAATTTTAAATTCTTTTTCCGGAAAAGTTACGCAACTCATTGCTGAATTTTTTAATCACTTTTTTCCCTCAATGTATCGTAGATAATTATACATTATTATGTAAATATTTTTGTAGCGAAATGTGTGAATTTGCAAGTTATAAGTTCCAAAGATATTAAAGAAAATTATTTATTCTTAATGGTCGAATAATTTCAGATATTTCAGCAGAATTCTTCTATCTTTTCTCCTAATGACATCCTCTTAATGTACCAGAAATTCGTGACGTTACATTAAGATTACGATCCGTAATTCTCTCGGAGATCGCGAGCTACCGGTTGGTCAGCCTAATTTTACTAAATTACAAATTATGTCTAAAACGTTTCTTATAATAAAATATATTTTACATACTTAAATTAGTATAATCTCTGTAATTAATATAATATATATTATTAAATAAACTTATTAATATATTTACTGCTGTATAAGAATTTATATAGGTTAACTTATCAACCTTTTTTTTTTTTTTAATCATTTCCCGATTAATTACGTTAAAATGTTTAATAATATCTTAAGATTTTAATAAAATATAAGCAGTAGACATTTTTTTACATAAAAATTCTAATTTAATTTCGAATTTCTACCGTTTAAACGTGGAAAAAGTAAGTAAAGAAGTAGGGCAAGTTAGCTGATGCTTACCTACTTTAATGAAGGAACGACAAGGTTTTTTTTTCAATATAATTAGTAAAATAATAATCAAAAAATCTATTAAAATAATTAAATTTTAAAAATTAGAATATAATATCGAGTTTTTTAAGTAATAAATATTAAAATTTTTATTTTTAAACTTTAAAAAAATCTAATTATTTTAACTAATTTCGAGAGTTGTTATCTCTCTTTCCTGTCTACATTTTTTTTTCTTTGTGTGTGTGTTTTATTTTTATTTTATTTTCAATGGCCCACATTTTTATTTAATTAGCTTTATTTCTTTTAATTCTTAAATGTAATTAGCATAAAGAATAAAAATAAACTAAATTCTTTCTTTATATATATATATAAAAAAAACAATACTGTACATAAGCTATATCCAATTACAGATCGCCTGAGCTGTTAGAGATTTGCTTCAGGTAAAGATGCCTTCATCTTTATTTTCTTTCCCTTTTTTTTTATTGTTTATTCCTTCTTCTAGAGAATAAAAATTAAATTTCTTTTTTTTATATTCCTTAAAAAATTCTAGTTTAATTTTAAGAAAGAATTGCAGCTCTTTTTTTTCTTTTACTTGGCTTCCATAATTAACATATGTATCTTTAGAATGGAGCTTGTAGGGCCCCGAAAGAAGGGGGCCTCAAATTTCGTGTTATGTTTAAAGCGTGAGATTGCAGTACTCATTTTGGGACTTCACGCTAACGAGGCAATTAGGGCCTTCCTCTGAAATTCTAGCTTCTTCGAGGCCCTGTTTGAATACTGACATTACTCATTCGGAATATTTAGTGTGTGATTATTCTTAGCCTTTAACAAAATGGACCCCTGTGCAGTTGCGTAGTTTAGTCTCGTTTTTGTATTATTTGGAGGGAGGCCCTTTTACGTGTTATTGCCGAGGGCCACGTCTTTAAATCGTCCCTCATTCGTGATTGATTCGAGATTCATTTTACTTCTTTCAGACGATGTACAGGATCATACGATTGGCTCATAAATTCTACAGTTATATTAAGTAACCAATGAGAGAGAGGGAATTTTGGAGCTGTGGTAGTGGGGCCCGGATCTGTATAGTGAATAGGATAGAATAAAACAACGCGATCTGCCAAGGACTTCTACGAGAAACTGGCCCCTATTTAGATGTTAGACACGTGAAAGAAACCCGACCCCCTTCAACAACAGAGATTTCCTGTATCAGAAGTTAGGCAGGTTTCCGTTTTAAACAGGTTTTAACCTGTTTAAAACGGAAACCTGCTTAAATAGGGGAAACTCTTAGAAAGGCGGAGATTCCCCGTTTAAAAAAAAATCTGGAAAAATATTCGATACCTTACGAGTCCGGTTTACACAGGTTTTCACTGAATTTAACAAGAAAATATAAAATATTTAAAACAATTTCTCCTGTTTCCATTTTAATATTGCAAGTGGCTCGTTTGTTCCGTTTTTTAGATTCTTTTTTCTTTTCTTTGTTTTCCCCTCTTCTGTAATAGGATAAAACCCGCATTTCAGGAATTGTGCACTTGATATCTCGTTTGCCTCATCACTGTTGATAGTCTAATCCTGAAATTCGATTTTCTTTCCTGTATACTTGAAGTAAGTTATAAGTCCCATACTTTTAAATTGATCGAGCATTTGATCTACCTTCGATCGACCAAGCGATAAATCAGAGATAGTAATCCCCGAAAGCTCAATGAGAGTGTTAGAATCCATTCACTTTCATTGAGCTGAAACTTTTTTACGAATTTTAAATTATTTTCTGTTATTTAGAAGTGGCCGTAATTTACAGGTTATTTTTGTATGCATTTTAAGTTTCCACCCAAAAATATATATTCCTGAAAAAATAGGCACTATTTACAGCTATTGGAGATAAACTGTATATATATAGGCCTATATATATCACTAGAGCTGCCAATGGGGTCATTTTTGACCCAATTATTTATCTACGTGTAAAATGATTACAATGAAAGAAAAGGTAAATTGTCTGAAAGGAACTGTATTGGATGTAGTAATATGTATTCGAAGCGAGAACGTGATAAAAATTACCGAAAATAGTACCACATATAATACAATGTCTCTCTTAAACCTGTTATCTTTATCTAGGAAAAGATAAAACTCGTGTGTACTGGAATATTGTTAGGTCGAATGGACGGAATCATTTCTTGGGAAGGGCAAGAAATTATCAGTAGCGATATTTCTTTCTATTCCATTCTCATCTCTACAGCTAACAAAACAAAATAAAAATAAGAAATAATACTGGGAACGAAAAGAACCTGTTTAGTAAGGACAGTGATTAGAAATGATATTCTTTTCTTTTTTTGCAGTTTCGACTAAAGGCACGAAAGTTATTAAGCCTCAAAGTGGCTACCCCCACACACCTACACACGAAAACACATATTAATATCCATACAGACAGTAAACCCTCCCCCAATTTCTTTTGCATTTCTGGACGTTTCAAGGTCCTCGAGTCCAAAAGTGTAAAAATCTCGAGGGGTCAGTTTTTTGATCGATCGCCATACTTTTCCTCTGTTATATATAGCAGCCAGTAATGTTTTTTTCCCACTACTTTATTGTAATTATTTGTTATTAAACCTGATTATCATGCAATGTACACTTGTACAATTAAAATTATGTATACGCATTTTACATACTTTTCAGTCACATTTTATGAAACATTAAAAGGATGGGTCAAAACTGATCCAAGAGGCGGTTCAGGAGATATCAAAATCAATAATACTTTTCTCTATTGATTCGGACAAACAAAAGTCTCGTTCTTATATTTTAAGCACTATTGACTATTTTTATGTGGAAAGAAACATTTTCTTCCATTTAAATTCTTTATCCTAGCTTTCTTCTCCGTATATATTGAAATAACGAGCATTTTTCCAGGATCCTAGCCAAAAAGGAGGCCCAAAATTTAATTATTTATGTAAATTAATTGAAGTGACGAACAGTTTCTTCTATTGATTTTATTCGTCCATTTTTATGGCTTGCGGAGAGAGGTGGGCCCACTTTTAGAAGGAAGAGCGCTGGCGTTTATGTGGGCCTCGAAAGTATTAAGCTAAATTAAACATCTCATTAAAAAATACAATGAAAATTTTAACGCTATTGTTTTAATATATCGGGCCCTCGAAAATGCAAGAGAATGACCCATTTTCATTTCTGAAAGGCCCTAGATATAGAAGAATTATTTTTCTTATATCCAAGGCTTCTCGGATATTATATTTAGGGCCTTTTCGGATATATTCGAGGTTCTGCCATAACCAGGAATAGGTCATATCCAGGATTATAATTCCAGGATCCTCCAGATATCATATCCAAGACTTTATCATTCCAGGATCTTCCATATGTCGTATCCCGGACTCTATTATGGCCAGAACCGTGTCATATAGTACACAACCTCCCAGATGTTATATCTAGTGTTCTGTTATAACCAGGATTGAGTCATATCCAGGATCTGTCCAGGAACCAGGATTGAATCATATCCAGGATCTTCCAGATGTCGCATCCATGGCATCTCAGAATTCGTAGCGTGAATAAATTAGCAAAACTTCGTCGTGCATTATATTACCCATAATTACCATCATACTCCCGTATATATACGCCTAATTAATAATATGAAGCTATGAAACAAGATGGCGACAAAGTTTTCCTAAACTAAAAGAGCAAAGTTTGTCCTCTCAATTAATCGACACCATCTAAAAATAAACTTTTTTTTTTTAATTTCATTTTATTTACGATAAAACT